GTGCAAAGGAGGAAGGTCTCCACCAGGAGCCTGCGCCTGCGTCAGGGCAAAAGTCCTCTAGCCACACACACCCAAATGGCTACCAAAGCGACCCGTCCAACCTCGCGGGAACGCCCTGGGGGCAGCGCACTTCGATCTCGCCCATTCCCAGGTGGCGCTCCGTCTCCTCCGTGGTACTGTCTGGGAACCTCAGGCATGTGCCTCCCTGTGCATCAGAGGCAACGATGAGGGCACCATGGTGCACTGACTTCTAGAGGCTGGTGTTGGACTCTAGGGCAGCGACCGCTGACATGCGAAAACTGCACGACCAAGTCGCTGTCCTTGAACAGCCGTCCTCTGTCCCCAGATCGATCGCCCGCTCACCTCGCCCTGCTCGCTCCCCGCGCCATTGGCAAGCTCTACAGAGAACAAGATTTTGAAAACGCATCAATCAACAGCATCCCAGATCACCTGGCACGTCGGCAGTGGGTCCGGATTGGTACACTCCCTCCCCTACACACACCCCGCACCTAATCGTCCATGTCGTTCTCGTAGCCGCCCCATCACGCTTTCCGATGAGTTGGTACTTGAGGTGAAATGTACAACAGCAGCACGGAAGCACTCATGCATTGAGCCTACATTCATCTCGTGCGTGGAATGGTCTGGCGCGCCCTCCCGGTCCTCCATTTCGAAAGCAGCCATGCTGGCAGACATCCAGCCACAGCCATGATACACCCCCTGCTGCACTGCCTTGATGAGGACACACAAGAGTTCTACATGCCCCATCAGCTCTTATAATACAGATATGCAGCCAGTGCCGCGATCCAGACCAGCGCTGGGAGGTAGCTCCTGGTGGTGCTCAGGCACCTGTCTGGGATCCTGATCTTGTCCTCCTTCAACGGCACAAACCTCTCCTTGTTGCAGGCCAGGTACTGACTCGTGGGGTACCTCATGGGCGAGCATCCAACGTTGATCTTGTCTGTCAGCTGGTACAGCCTGCGGAGGGGAGGTCGGGGGAATGAGGGAAAGGGACGCAAGGTCCGCGACGAGCAGGCGAGTCCATGGTCGCCCTTGCACACTGCCAGGCCTCACGCGCACCGCCCCCCCTGCGTCGCTGCACCTGACGTGATCAATCTTCATGATGGAAGGGAACGCCAGGTGGGCGAGGTCCACCGACGAAAAGGAGTAGCTCATGCCTGCGCGTGGGGGGGGCGGGGCTGGGCGATCCGAGCGCTGGGCGGAGGGGAGTGCCGGGGAGGAGTGGTGCTGTGAAGCCACCCACGGTGTCCCACACAGGGCATCAGCCACCGGGGAGGCACACCTGCCAGCCTGGCAGGGGCTGCTGCCCTGCTCCATCTCACAGCCCTGCACGATCAGGCAGCCTGCGCTCACCAAAGTTCATCACCAGGTACATGGCTTCGTTCGGGATCGAGCGCGGGCCAGCGTAGGCCCCCGTCGCATTCGTGACCTCCACCAGGGCATCCGCGTTGACCTCAAACACCACCTGCGCGCACTCGGGAGGGAGACCGCTCGGAGTTTCCCGCCGTGCAGGGCAGGCGGTGCGATGAAGCAGGGTGGGAGCTGTCTGTGTGCAGTGCTGCTGCCGGGCGTTCTTGTGACAGGCCCGTTTCCCCGCCGGGCATGCCAGGGATGGCACTCCGCTGAGGTCTGCACCGGGAACCTCACGGCCACTGTGCGCGCCGTGCAAGGGGGCCCCAGGCCAGATCGCAGCGAGCCCTCGGATGCAGCCAGGGCTGGACCTGCACATGCCCGCTGCGCCACGGCATCCTCCACACACCCGACACCCAATCCCACACAAACCCACCTGGTCATCGATCGTCCATCGCATCACCTCCCCAGGCTGCCAGAACAGGCCAAACTTGTGAAACTGCGCGTAGAACGTGCCGTTCAGCAGGGACTTGGCGGAGAAGCAGTCCTGCCAGAGGTTCCCGGGCCGCCCGTGCACCCCCTTCCAGTCGTTCTCGGTCGTCTTGTGGTGCGTCTGGGAGCCTGCGGGGGATGCAGGACCGGCGAGGACGGAATTGCTGGCGAGGACCGGCGGAGCACGGGGGCGGCTGGACTCCGAGGCGCCAGGACCCTGTGCCTGGGCGGGCCCGTGCAGGCTCGCGAGCATCATCAGAGGGTGTGCAGTGCAGGTGGTGGGCTGGCCCTCATCCGTGAGTGGGGTGGGCTGCTCCGCGCACACTGCGGTGCGCCAGAAAGGTGCCTGCCCGCACGCCGTCCCCACCCACCCGGGTATGCCACGCCGCGCTCCATGAAGGGCGTCCCCGGCGGCTGCAGGGGCGCCATCTGCAGGCTGTGCGAGGCCGTCGGAGGGGATCCGGCGCCCTTGGCCCTGCCCTCCTTGTCCACCTTCCTGTACCCCATCCTGGGGGGCGAAAGGGTCGCACGGGCGGCTGAGTGGCTGGGCATGATGCCGCGGGAACAGAGTGCTCCAGCGCCAGGCCGTCTCCGTGCCGACGCCAGGAAACGGGATCGCCCCCAGGCATCCCCACAGAGCCCCTGCAGGTCGCGTCCTGCCCTCCCTCCCCTGTCTCCCACCCCTGGGTCAAACCCTGTGCCCCCCCCCCCTTTGCGCCCACGCACCCAACTTCCACGAGGTCCACCTCCGGGGCTCCGCGGCCCCGCCCCTGCTCCCATCCAAACCTGCCCCGGTCCTGACCCGGGCGGTCCATGCAGGCGGAAAAGCGCTGGCCCGGCAGCGTGCTCCACGCCACCTTCCCGGCGGCGTCATCGCAGGTGCTGTAGGAGTAGGGCCACATCCCCTCGGCCGTTGCCAGGTAGCCTGCAGGGGACGGGGTGGCATGTTCCAGCTCAGAGGGCTTTGCTCTCGAGGCAGCGTCCCCAGCAGCTACGACAATGAGAAAGATGTGTTGGGCCGAGGACCTCCAGGGGATGTGCTTGGCCGCACCACCCCTCTCCAGCAGACATGCCCTGCGGCAAACGTCCCCTCCTACTCATCTGGCTCTCACCCGGCCTGGCCAGGTTGCCCATCATCCAGATGGCAGGCCAGAAGCCGGGGGTGACGTCGTCGCCGGGCAGCTGCGCAGAAACCTCGACGTACCCGCCTGGTGGAAGAGAGGGAGGAGGGAATTCCTTGAACCTCGACACGCTCGACCATGTGGCCAGGCGTCGCACCCGCCCCGTCACCCCCCGTTCACACAAGGGTTGCCAAAATGACACAGCTGGCACATGCACCATGGCTCCTGCACAGTCCGCGTTCCTGGTCGAGATGGTCATTCACGGGGTGATGAGCCATGTCCCACACGACCCCATCCACCGCGCGTGCCTCCCCTCCTCCGCGATACTCATGCTAGAAGCACAGACCTGTGAAGCAAAACTTGTTCCAGGAGGTCACCATGCCTGAAGCATACTTGCTGGACACCTCCTTCATGCTCCCATCCACGCCCTGCATCACGGCCGTGCTGGACCGCTTGCTCATCTTCAGCTCCAGCGCTCCTCCTGGGAGCGGGAGGGAGGGCGTGGGCGCATGACGCGGTGCTGGGCGCGTGCGGCAGTCCCGTCACAGCCTCGACCCGGTACTGCTGCTGCGCCCCAGGAGCACCACGGCCCCCCCTCCCGGCCCGCAGACCACCATCCGCCGCACCTCGGACCTGGACCTGCTCCGGCTGGTAGACTTCTATGTCCTGCGTCGCGCTGTAGTGCAGCTGCAGGGATGGAGCGTGCAGGGTGGAATGGATGAAGGCCATCGTTGCGTCTCCGGCTGAGCTGGGTCTGTGAGCTGCTCCTCACCCTGGCTCACGCCCGGCCTGCGAGAACCTACGACCCCTGCCACGGTCGCATCCCAGGCAGCCAGCACCGACCTTCTCGGCTGTCCACTTGCGGTCTCGCACCCCCACCGCCAGACTTTTCTTGGGGTTGCCAAACTCGTCGGACATGACCAGGCTCATCGCCGTCGGCTTGCCACTGCAAGCCCCCCACCGGGTGGCAACACACACGCTCTTGGTGCAGGCGTCGAGGGGGGTGGTCTCATCTATGCCATCGAGGAGGGCCTGGGGTACGCCGACAGCAGCCCCCCTGGTCCTGCATGTCTCCCCTCTCGCCACATGGCCCAGAACCAGCACTGAGGAGGGCAGACAATTGAAAAGGCGTGGAGTGAGGTCGGGCGGCGTGGCAGGGCGAGCAGGAGGCTGCTGATCCAGGAAGCACCGGTCTTGGATATACTTGCCGAGGACAAGGCTCTGCGCCAGGAGCATGCTTCCCCGCACGAGCATCTCCGGCAAGGGTGCGGCGCTTTGTGTACTTCCTGTCCGGGCCAGATGTCGTTGAATTGCCTAGTGCAGGGTGCCACTGATCAGAGTCATTCAATGATTCACCAAGTGATCCTCTCGGCCTGGAAGTGTCGGGACAGATTGTCCCGATCACGAGCAGGTGCCCTTTTGTCGTGAGTGGGTGCTTAATCAGGGGACGCACGCACGTGGGGTAGGGGGGGAAGAGAGAGTTGGGCCCACAACGCACGAATGTGAACCCGCCCTCTTGGATTTGTGGAGAGCTTATTTACACCACATGTGCAAGGTACTGCTAGATTCAGTATCATGCGTGTCCTGGGTGCGGCTGCTTGCAGCATCTGAAGTGCAGCTCCCATCGTGGATGGCACATGCACACCAAGGAGAACAGGCAACTCCCAGATTCAAGAGGAGCATCACCCCCTGAACCTTCTGTGACCATGGTCTCACATGTACAGAGTGTGCCTGTCCCCCAGCTGACCACCGCAGCAGGTCCCCCCGAGCTCCCTTGCCTCGCAGCAGGCCAAGAAGCGGCGCTCATGCCAGGCAGAGGAGCAGCACAGCCAGCAGGCCGATGCTCAGGGCCGGCTGACTGGCCAGCGCCCCACTCGTGCATCCGCCGGGTATCCTGCCCCGGTCCTCCTTGAGCACTATGTACAGGTCCTTGTTGCACGCCAGGTACTGCTGGGTGGGGTATGCCGTGGGCGAGCACCCCACGTTGATGGCGGTGGGGTCCTGGTACAGCCTGGTGGGGTGGGGGCATGGTGGCGGGCTGAAGCACTGGTTGCCGTCCTGCTGGTGCTCTGGGCGGATGCTTGCCCTGTGCTGCTTCCCAAGCCACCCACCTGATGTAGTCCACCTTCATGGTGGCTGGGAAGGAGAGCCTGTACAGGTCTACCGGTGTGAAGTCATTACTCATCCCTGGCAAACATCCATGAAGGGACGGGGTTGAATTGGTTTGAAGGCCAGGAAGGCGTGCACTTGCACTGCATGCTCAGGTCGAGCTGCCCGCTGGACACATCGCCTTCAACATGTGCAGTTGCAGAGGCCCAGACACAGAGCCCGGTGCCTCCATGCCACAGCACAGAGACTGGCACCCATTTCACGCCACGCCGGCGCTCACCCAGATTCATGATGATGTACATGGCCTCCAGGGGGATCTGGCGCTGTCCCACCTCCGCCCCACTCGAGTTTGACACCGCGGTCAGAGCAGCCGCGGTGATCTCGAAAGTGATCTGGAACGAGTGTGAGAAGAGGGGTGGACAGGCTTGAACCAGGCTTGCGGAGGTTCCAGAGGTGGGGAGGAGCATGTGTCTCCCCCCTTGCCTTTCCAGATGCACATCAGCAGCTCTCTCTTGCACCAGCACTGCTGTGCAGTGGATGGTGCCATGCTATCCCCGTCCTCCCACCACACCTGCCGGCAACAGCAATCGCAGCACCCTCTCCTCCCACCTGGCCATCGATGTACCAGCGCAGGACCTCACCCGGCTGCCAGAACAGCCCAAAGTTGTGATACTCGCTGAAGAAGGAGGTGTTAATGCTGGACACCGCCGAGAAGCTGTCCTGGTATGTGTTCCCCGGGCGGCCATAGATGCCAGACCAGGAGCTCTTCTGGGTGTCAAAGTCGGAGCTCGCCCCTGGAAATGGAATGGTGGGGTGATTGTGTAGAATTTGTGGGAACTGTATGATTAGAATGTGTAAAGTGGCTGGGAGAGAAGCGGTGGGCGGGAGACCTAGGAGGCTCCAAATGCATGACGTCGAATGAGGGGTTAAGCATACCCAGCCCCCCTGTGCGTGAGTGCACACAGTTGGGGGGGATGGGTGTCTGCGGCGAGACACATCTGTTACGGGTCACATTTTTAGGGGGTGATCGCTCTCAATGCATGATGCTGGGGACAACAAGGGCCTACAGCAGTTCACCGAAACCTTAGAGACACGAGCCAGCTTTCCAGGTGCAATTGCAGTGATCAACCAGACAGCTACCCGTTCCCATAGCCCCTCGCCAGGGTCCCCAGGCCCCCGCCCCTGCCCACGGACCCGGATAGTTGACACCCGAAGCCATGAAGGCGGTGCCGGGCGGCTGCAGGGGCGCCATCTGCAGCGTCTGGCTGACATACGGCAGGCTGTAGTCGCTGTCGTGGGCCGTGGGCGTGCCCTTGAGCCCATTTACACTGCTGGGCACGCTGTGCAATGGAGGCAAAGGAGGGGTTGGATGACCAGGGCTTCAGGATCGGAGGACAAGGAGCAACACCGAGGACAGGCGACATCCAGATGGCCGCCATCTTGCTCGAGAATGGTGATTACTCATCAATTTTGCTGGGCCCTATGGCCATGTGGCCTGAGCGGCAAGTGAATCCATGCATCGATAAGAACCTGCTCCTTATCAAGCTCCATTGATGGGTCAACTCATCAGGCCTCGTCCCTTGCCCTCCCCTACGTCCAGACTCAGCACTCGGCGAGCTCAGGGGGCCCCGTCAACTTCCCCCCCTCCCACACTTGCTGCAGCACCTCACCTCATCTCAAAGAGGTCCACCTCAGGGGCGCCGCGGCCCACGCCGGCCGGCCAGCCATAACGAGTCTGGTTATTCCCGGCCGTGTCGGGGCAGGCCGAGAAGCGCTGGCCCGGCAGCGAGCTCCAGTCCACCTTGCCAGCCGCCGCGTCGCAGACGTCGTACGAGTACGGCCACATGCCGCCAGTACTGGCCATGTACCCTGCAGACTCCCCAGGGGAGGGAAGGGTGAGGAATGAGGGGGAGGGGGGGGGGGGGTTGACACGCCGCAAGGTGGATGCACTCGGTGTGGGGAGATGGGCGGCGACCAGAGGCAGGGCTGGCCGGACGGGGCCCCGGGCCTGCGCAGTCTCAAACACAACAGCGTGCACCCTTGCATTCGATCCAAACAGCACAGCACGCACACCTGCCCGGCCGAGGTTGCCCATCATCCAGGTAGCTGGCCAGAAGCCGGAATAGAAGTCGTCGCCGGGCATGACTGCCGACACCTCCAGGTACCCGCCTGCAGCAGAGCATGGGGGCCACAGCGGTGAGGGTAGGGAGCCAGGCACCTGCTCATTGTAAGCTCCTCGTGCAGACCCCAGACTGATTATATTCAGGCTTGCGGCAGCTTCATTCATAAAGGCATGCTCAACTTAGCGCCACGTTTACCGGACCCTCTCCCATCAAGGCACAGCAGCCCTGGAGGACATGGAAAGGCTGTCCTCGCTGGCCAGTCCCCAGGCTAGGAACCAGGGCCCCTCCAAACCTGTGAAGCAGAACTTGTTCCAGGAGCTGACCATGCCTGAGACAAAGGGCATGGCCACAGATGTGGAACTGCCGTCCGGCGCCTGGGAGATGCCCTGACCCACCCCCTTGTTGATGGTGATCTCCAGCGACCCGCCTGCAAGCCGTGTGAGTGATTGAGTGAGAGAGCTGTGGCAGGATGTGGATATCGTGTTGCGAATGGGGTCTGAAACAGCAAGGAGAGGAGCTTAGTAGATGCCTGATAGTCCGCCAGGGGCACACCGAGACTGATTATGGCTCAACACTTTCCAAGGGCCTGTGATCGAGCACAGTCCAGTCGTTTATCGAGCCTTGCACCTCGGGAAGCTCACCTCCAGTGGCGACCTGCTGAGCAGTGTACACCTCCATGTCAGATGTCGGTTGGTAATAGAGCTGGACAGTTGGAGAAGGAGGTAGGGGTTTGGGCAACGGGGTGCCTCCAGTGTCCCCTTGCGCACCAACTAGTTAACAACACAGAATCCAGATCCCATGGCTCAACCCCTTCCTTCCCTGGTCCCGCAACCCCAGCTCTCCCACATTCTCTGCAGTCCACAGGGGGTCGTTCTGATACACCGCGAGGCCCCTGCCGTCCTTGTTGAACTCGTCAGACATGACCAGGATGAGGTTCTCCTTGGCTGCAGAGGCACATCCACCCAGCTCAGTCGAGGTGCAGACCGCCATGCTGCAGGCTGTGGCTGGGCTATCGGGGTCAATGTTGGCAGCCAGGTTGGAGGACGTGCCGGTGTCCAACAGCTGCTGCGTGCAAGGACCGGTGGTGGCCGCCACATGCAGCGCCAGCAGGCCTGCAGGGGAGGGACAGCGGGGTGATGGGAGTTCCACGAGCCAGATCACAGACGAACATGACTCTTCCCTGCTACGCCATCAATAACAACGCGCCTGCGCATATCACTAGTGCTATGTATGTCATCATCTGGTTTGCCTACGACAGAGTGACGCGCAAAGTCCGAGGGCAGCTGCGCTTATCAAACATTGCAGAGCATGTCTACATAATTTCTCATCAAGCGATTTAACATGCATGCCTTACTTCTAACTGCATGCCGCAGAGACATCAGTCGGTCGTGAGAGCTGGAGCGACCTGCGCACTCCATTTGAACGCGTCGCCGTGGCCTCACCGGTACCGGCTCCCCTCTATCCATTCTCAGATGTGCTTACCGGAAGCAATTGCCAAGGCATAAACTGAGTAAAAATAGGTTAAATGGGATCGTAAATGACCAACGGCCATTCTATGGGCATAAGGGATGAAGGGAGATGCATTGTAGTTGATGTAAGGTGGCCATCCTCGCCAGACACAGTTCACGTTATCGTGCAGGGGAAGGATACGGGCCATTGAATGCACAAGGCGAAGAATTTAGCAGGGGTTGTACAGTCTCATGGCCATCCGAGCTGCGAGCGGCAAGGGAGGGTAGTTTGGCGCAAGATTCGTTTCATCCGCCTTGATGAACGTCTTGTAAGGGAGCTCCTTCATGATGAGGGCCACAGTTGCCCTCTTGTGGTCGGTACAACAGCACCAAACCTGAAGATCAAAGTGAGGAGGGGAAGATACTTTTGAGCAGGGGCGGAAGTAGGATTTCACCAAGTCTGAAAATCTCAGGGCTTGCTCCCCGGCCTTGAAGTTCTTGGGCCATGCTCCTCGACCCAGTCGTCCTCTTGCCAGCATACGTCCCGTCATGCAGAGCTTCTGCCGTAAAAGAAGAGCCAAACCCTTTTCCCTTCTTATGTTGGTCCTCACTACGGGCTCACCATCGTGTCCGTGGATGGGACCCCCTTTGCGAAGAGGGTGCTCACGTCCAGGAACACGCCTGTGCCATCCCCTTCGTCCGCCTTGAACGTCTCACAGTTCTCGGCAGCGCAGACTGTGAGTAGCGGACGGCCCATATTGGGTCGGAGGCTGTCACGCCGCGCTCAAACTCAGCTGCTGGCCAGAGCCCACGCACGAGTGAGACAGGAGAGGAGACGAGTGAATCTTCTGATACACGTGGGAGAGGTGTGTCGAGCACAAGAGCCCGGAAGGAGGGTTTATCGTTTGGCGCGCCCTAGCCGGCCAGGTCCTCACGTGACGTGGCCTTCGTCACGGAGCTCGGTTCTGGGAGTTTCCTCGCACATTGATGCCCTGGACAGTGCCTGTGACTTTCCAATATTTCTCATTTTATTGTACTTGGTACACATCCGGAAGATTTGGAGTACATCGCAACCCGGCTTTGCGATGGTCGACCTGAAGCACTGTCCCAGCGCGCCACCAGTAGACAACAGCGATGTGCCGCTGTTGCAGCGCATGAAGGAGCATGCGATAGAGTTCTACGAAGCTTCGCCCGAGCAGCACCGACAGTGCCTGCGGAACACATTCAACAAGGTCTGTCTAGCATCGGGGTGGAACATAGGGCCAGCCCGACCCCGCTGCGCAATGTGCCTCCAACTTCATGCGAATGCCCAGACTACAGCAGCGCCTGAATCCCTTCATTACTCTGATCACGCAGTACATGTCCAAGCTGAGCGCGGCCACCGCCTCGGAGAACCCTGTGAAACACAGTGACCTACACGTCAGCGTCACCACTGGGCAGCCTACTCCTGCTGGCAGCAGCCCCGCCTCGCAATGAAACTGCCTCTCATTGCCCTGGCAGTCAGACTTCACCCAATACCTGGTGTGGCTTAGTCCTGAGAGATTGGACATCTCTTGCAATGACTGTATTCTATGTATTCTCTGAGGCATTACTATGCTGAAACTGTCTTCGTCTCAATACTGAGAGCATATTTTGTAATGATTAAGAACAGAGCAGCAGTGCGCACCCTATGGAGCCTTGTGCCATACATTTTGCAGGGGCGTCTTCCGATTTTGTCGTCATTGCATTAAAACAGAGCTGGAGCTGAATCCAGCAGTGTTTGAGGCAAGGAGGCACTCCTCAGTGTGGGTTGCCACCGCACACTTGGTGGGCCAACAGGTGGCAGAGGTGCAAAGAGAGGAAGGTTGAATCAATTCCTGATTACAACATCCAGCCTCTTGGAGTGTCCCTGAATATCTATGGGCAGGAGCTGCCACCTACCCTGACAGGCATCTGCCGTGTATGCCTATGAACTAGGTTGGGGTCTAATAACATGCCTGCCCTTGTTTCGAGCTAGAGACATCAGGGTCGATGATGTCCTGGACGAGCACAAATGCTTCTGACGTGCACCAAGCCGCCTCTTTTCCGATAGGCTTGATGGTTACCCGACAAACAAGAAGACCTGGTGCGCTCAGAAGCAATTGTTGAGGCGCGACTCTGCGCATGGCTCATCCGCCCCAGTGACAGATGGTGCAGACCTTGCCCATCCATACAAGTATACTAGGCCCATAGCACATGCGAAGCACCTGTTTCCATCCCAAACCTGTGCTTGCTGAAAAAATTCATCTGGCCCAGCTCAAGCGTGGTGGCCAGGGAAAACGACCATGTGGGTGTCAGGTCAAAGGGTAACAATGTGGGAGGATGATAAGTGCACACATAGATCGATGGAAGACTGGTATTGCGATACACATATGGCTCGGTCATGCACTTTACAACTCACAGCTGCTCCTGCTTAGCGCCCTTGTAAGGGCTCTAATCCGGCACCCTCACTGAAGTCTCGACAGTCACCAGGTCGAATAATGTTACCACGCCTCCAAGCAAGGCCAACACTTTCAACACGCACCGTACTCTTGGTATTTTGGAAGAGGTATGTCTATGGCATTCTGAGTATATAAATGGGTGTCCCGGAGGACTGTCGTGATGTTTCGAGATCCGAAAATAAATGCGAAACCTGGGAGAGAAATCCCACGACAGATACCGCCAGGCAACGAAAGCAGCGCACTCCTACGAATTGGGATTATCTTGCCCTCCTGTAAATTGTACATGCATGGCTTGAAACACACTGATGATATGGGAGGCTCGAGGGATCGCCGACGGAGCCCAGCCTTGCTCCCCTTGTTCATATTGTCTGCGCTCTCGGCCCTGACCCTGATATATACCATCCCGCGACTCCAGGAACCCCACATCGGCGTCACAATTATTTTTAAGCCCTTCCAGCCCCTCATAACCAACACTGGTGTTGACGTCGAGGGTCTAGAGATAGAGAGCCCTGTCGCCCCGGTGCTCAGCCCTCCGAGACTGCCAGCCTGTACCCTAGACCAGCCAGCCATCGACATTGTCCTCCCGGACGGCAGCCTGCACGCCATACTGTGGCTGACGTGGTTCAACGTTACCGTAGACTGCTCCGGTGCGAGGGCTGACGGTCATTGAAGAAGGTGCTTGGAAATTTTGACCTCTGTAGTGCACGTGATTGAGAGTTGTCAGGCGTGGTGTGGTCTGTGGAGTCCGAGAGCGGTCGCCTCACACCCAATATATAACTCACAGGGAAGGATGTGTTCATGGGCCGGCTCATCCGTATAAAGACACGGGACGAGGTGAGCCTGCTCTTGCTAAGGTTGCCAAGGGGTTCCAGCCAGGCTGCTGCCCACCACATGGATGTTCTCATATGCAATGGACAACGTCCTTCCAGGGGATGTGACAGTAAGCCCCTTGCCGTTCCAAACCCCTCAAACCTCCCCCCCATTCCCCCTTCCCAACGGATCTTACCCCTCTACATACCCCACAAGTCCTCTACACAACCGACTGCCATCACTCTGATGCTGGATGCCGATGTCATCCCCCTCCATCCGCCCTTACTCACGTGGCGCCACCTACAGGCACTGATGACTCCGGGGTGGGTCCAGCGGGCGGCTGCAGGGCAGAGTGGCAAGCGGTGGGTTGCTGGTGGACTGTCTGGCTGTACAAGGGGTGAGCCCCAGCCTCTGGGTGGAGGCTCAGCTGTCCTTGGTCCCTCCCCCATCCTCCTCCCAGGTTGCACGACTGCCGAGACTTCAAACCTACCTGGGAGATAGAGGAGGCGCGGAGGGAGTATCAGCGGGATGCAGCCCAGGCTTCCACCCCTGCTGCGCACTCCGACGGATCGGCCAAGGCGCAGCAACGCGCCAGCACCGTGCTTGCCTGCAGAGCGGCGGTGACGAGGGAGCCTCTCCCCGCTGGACACACGCAAGGCATCTTGCGGCGGGAGGTGAACCAAGGTGAGGAGGTCGACGGTAAGGGGGGCCTGGTGTTGAGCCCGGCGTACGACCTCGGGTAACAGCAGGAACCCTGGAGGCAGTCTCACCGACTCATCCCGAGCTTGCTCGCGCTTGCAGACACCTTGATGAGGCTGAGAGGCAAGGGGATGGACGTCTCGGTCTGTAACGCCTCTCCACGTGCGTCTTTGGATGGCCTGGCCCATTCTCGTTTGGGATGCCGTGCGATGCTTCTGCATGCAGGAGCCGCCACTCCAGGGTTTGCAGCTGAGCCCGCAGCCGCAAGCCGCTGCTGTGCCTGGCCCGTGCAAAGCGTCGATGCCACTGCAGCCAAAGCTCTCGTCCCCACCGCTCTGCAGGCAAAACTGTGCTGGGGTGCCCCCTCTTTGGCGGCGGCTTTGGCATCCACACCACAGCAGCAGCATACACCCTGCTGCTCAGCTGCAGTACCAGGCTGGGGATACTGCCCTGCAGCCAGGACGTCAGCAGACAGGAGAGGGTGTGGTGGTAGGGGAAACTCGATTCCTAATGCAAGATCCTCCAGCCCCTACACCCTGGATCCCATCCCTTGCGACTCGACGCTCTCGTGAGAGTAATGGGAGGAAGCAGGCAACCTACCTCTCCCGGCGCAGAACGAGCACAGCCTTGACTCCTGAACACCTCATGCCCGTGCCTCCCTGGCAGCTTGTGAGGGTTGCTTGCGCCCGCTCTTGGCTCGGCAGTGTGTGCATTACAATCAGACTCCTGAACAGTGCTTTGAAATACATTGCTGTGAAAGAGTAGTCTTTGCGCCCCTGACAGGGCTGGAACCATCAGATGATGGCCAAAAGTAGGCAAGGGGGCTTGCGGCGCTTGAACGAGCGCCTTTGCGTGAGAGACATGCCGTACTGATTTAAAAAGCCTTTCCCAGTCTGCGGTCCAGCCCTGGACTATGCCAGAACGACAACCCGGTCCTCGCTCACATACTCCCGTTCTTCGGCCCCGCCGGGTGCCAGGATCAGGGCGCCATCCCGTGTGATCAGCCTGATGGGGAGGGAGGGAATGGAGGCGGTGAGTGTGTATGTGGCCTCTGTGCTCATTGTCGACACAGGTCCTGCATCCCAAGGTCCCCCAGGGCAGCACCAGTCGCCGCTCACCCAATTGCCGTCTCCCCGCGCTTCCGAGCCAGCTCTGCCACCTCGGCAAATCGCACCATTCCCCACGAGGATATGCCCAGCCTGTTGGAGGTTCAGCGGTAGAGGGGACAGAGGAGTCGGTTTTACTGGATCGAAACCTCCATCCCAAGCATGGTGTGACGATGCATGCGTCGCAAGTCCACTGCATCCCGGCACGCGGATGCTAAGCCTGCAGGCCTGGCCTCGCCAGGGTCTTCACGCCTCGATAACCTTGCCAACCTCCACCCACCCACACGCCGCCCTGCCCACAGTTCAGGCTTTCCTGCCCCCGGCCCCTGCTCACCAGCCAGGGGACCTGAGGAAGACCTCAGTCCCGTTCCCGCTGCTGCTGCCGATCAGCGTGGCAAGCACGGAGCGCAGGCGCGGCTCAGCGCCCATCTGCGTCAGCACCCCCGCCGCAATCTCGTCCGGCTGCAGCAGCTCCGCGGTCATCTTGCCGCGACCTGAATCAGATGTGTGCGTGTGTGTGGGGGGTGGGGGGGAGTTGTTGGCAATTGGACATGTCAGGCCACCCTCCTCTAAGGCCAGATGCCCTCCTCTCGACCACACTGGCATCTGCCTTGCAAGGACCACTCCTGCGCCATCTACAGGAACCACGCCCGCCACACCCCCACTACAGCCCTCTCCTCCCTCACTCACACAGGCGGGCCAGGATGTGGTTGGCCACCTGCACGGTGTCCGGCCGCCGGATAGTGCCGAGCACGTGCAGGGGGGCGCGCAGGAGGCGCTTTCTTTTCAGCAGGCATGCCTCCAGGAGGAGGAGCGCCGAGACCAGCTCCGCGTCGCCCTGGATCGACTCCTCGCTGCCGGACACTGTGAGGATGGAGGTTCGAGGGGTGGCTTGGGCATGCATTGCAAGACGGTCTGAAAGGCCGGGCAACAAGCGGCCTCACTGTGCTCCCTTCCATCCATTCAGGGCCACGAAAGGGCAGGCCAGTGAGAGCGTGGGCTGCAGATGACTCGGCAACCACCGCTTCTACCTTCCAAGGACTCCCCCCCATCCACACGCAACAAGAATCCCACCACCCTGAGCGCACGCAGGATGCGGCTGAGGATGATGACGGAGTCGGCCTCTGCCACCCCCGCCTCCTCCAGCAGGTCGATGCTGGAGGGGTTGCCGCGGACATGGCGCAGCAGCAAGTCCACGCCGCACCGCTCCCCCTTGGCCCCGTTGGCCCCGCCGTCGGCCGACCCCAGCACGTCTCGGCTGCCCAGACTGGCGCCGCTCCTCGTCACCAGGCGCCCGGCCACCTCCTTATGGTTCGCGTCGGGGTCGGCCTTGTCCCGCAATGCGTCCTTGCCATTCGTCTCGCCGCCCTCGCCGCCCTCGCCCTCGCCCTCGCCCTCGCCCGCCTCCTCCGGCTCCAGCCCCGGGGGCGCGCAGGGCCCCACCACGGTGACACTGGACCCCGGGGGCGCCAGCAGGTGCAGCTGCGCCATGAGCGAGGCCAGGCGGCGCGAGGGTTGCGCCTCGCTGTCATCGCACCCTGCACCCCACTCCAGCACGACGATGCGGCGGGGGCGGGCACCCCCCGCGCGCGCGGCTCGACGTCGGGCCGGTGCGGCGCCGCTTGTCCCGCCTCCCCCCGCGCCAGCTCCACGTCGCCCACGCCCCGCACGGGGTGCAGCTTGCCGCTGCCGTGCGCGAGCAGGACCAGGCCCATGCCCTCGTGCAGGGGCATGTCGTCGCGCGGGTTCAGCGTGGCGCCCCGCCCCGGGCTCACCAGGCCGATGCAGGCGGCGGCGGGGTAGCGCCGCCGCGCTCTGGCGTACGTCGTGCCCACCAGCGCGCCGTCTACGGGCAGGACGCGAACCCAGGCCCCGCCCCGCGTCTGCTGCAGCAGGCTGGCCTGCACCGAGGCCACCCCCGGCTGCGCCGCGCTGCGTGCCAGCAGCGCGCTCAGCCCGCCGACCAGATCTAGGTCGTCCAGCTCCAGGGCCTGCGCCGCGGCGGGCGTGGCGGGGTCGGCCAGCAGGTCGGCGAGCGCCAGCACGGAGGGCGCCCGCGCCCCTGTCCCCGCCCCCGCCGGCGTCTGCAGGATGACGTTCTGGGGCCTGGGCACGTGGCCGCGCGCCCAGCGCCCGTCGCGTCGCCCCGCCAGCGAGGCGCGCACCGCCTGCAGCGCCAGCACGCTCGCCACCTGGCGCTCCGCGGCCGCGTCGCCGCAGCCGGCCAGCGCGCTGGGGGCGCCGTCGTCGGGGCGCAGGACGATGACACACGCCGCATGCGCGCCACCCGCGCGGTCCACATACACGGTGGAGGAGGGGGCGCCGGGGCGCGTGGCGATGTCCAAGCTGGTGTGAGGCAGGGCCGAGGCCAGGTCCGCGTCCATCTCCGGCTTGGGCCGGTCCGCCAGGATCACCACCGTGCCGGGGAAGGCGCCGCGCTCGCGTCGCGCCACCTCCATCTGGCGCAGCAGCGGGACCAGCTGGCAGCTCCAGCCCAGGATCAGGGTGTGGTTGCGCGCGGTCACGGGGTAGCTCCCCTGCCGGATGTGATCGTACCTGTGAGTCGTTTGTTTTGGGGGGGAGGGAAGAAGGGGAGATTGAAGCACCAGTAGGGGCAGGTGGCGAGAATGTGGCACGCACAGGACACCACTCGCGCCGCTCCGCGAGCTCACCTGAACCGACCCCAATATGCCTCCACCTCAGCAAACCCCCCTGCCCCCCACCACACCACACACCTCTTGTTCAGGTCTTCGGTGATCACACCCAGGATCAAGGCAAAGGTGAGGGTGCCCATGAAGAACATCACCACGTTCACCGCAGTGGCCGCGATGTTGACATCATTCAGGACCATGGGCCCTGCAGGGATGGGGTGTAAGAAAGGAGGAAGGGGATGGGGGCAGTGGCGGTGCTGGGTGGGAGAGGGAGGGGCGTCATCGGGTTGCGTGGGCCAGGGCGCCAACTGGGAGCAGGGCCCGAAGCTGCCCGGGGAGAGTGGATGGCGGAGAGAAAGAGTGCCAGGAGCAGGCAGGAGCACAGTGGCACCCTACCCCAGGTGCGGAGCACCAGACCATTGCCGCCTGGGTTGCTGACCGAGTCCCTTGAAGCAACTTCCTGACGCTCACACAACCCGACGCTCACACAACCGGACGAGCACACCGTACCCAGCCTCCCAGCCAATCACTATGTTTATTTGCACCTGGGAAATGGTAGAGGTTCCCAAACGCCTGCACCAAGCTGGCAGCCAGAGACTTGCCGCTGACCTGCCTGGTCCAGGGTGGTTGCGTGCGGGAGTAGGGGGGGGGCGTTAGGGCTTGTGCCAGTGGGTTCAGATGTGCCTTTTCTTGGTGCACCCCTCCCTGGACCCCTGGGTCCCCCACAATCCCGCCCTCGTCCCGATGAGTGATGGCAACAGCTGCCACTCGGAACCCCACCACACCCACCCACCCCCTCACTCACTTGTACAGCAGCGCCCCAGCAACCACCGCCGGGGCTCCCAGGAGGAAGTAGCCGGCCACCTTGGCGGGCAGCGCCCCCAGCATCAGCCTCTGCTGCACCTGGTACAGCACCCAGCTGGACAGCAGGCGCCGCACGCGCCCGCTCCAGGTGCTGATCCAGCCCCAGCCCCCGCTGCCAGAGGGCCTCTTGTTCTTGGCCTGCGTGTGTGGGGGGAGGAGCGTTTGAGGGACCGGGCACAGTGGGGGGCGGGGGAGCCTGGGGGGCACCTGGTCCACCACTGCCGCACACCATACCCCCCCCCTCCAGCCCCAATCACTGCAGCGCCGGCGATGCGCACCGCTTCCCGCCCTACGTCTTGGGAGTGAGGGCTCTCCGAAAAGGGAAGCCAGACGGCGGCCGGGGTCTGCAGGCGGTCGGGCGCGTTGGAGCCCTCCAGCCGGGCGTCGTGCAGCTGCTCGTCCAGACTGGGCTCCGCCTCGCTGCGCTCCTCTGACGTTTGCCTCGCCGGGTCCTCCTTGTTCTCCATGCCGAGAGTGGCAGGCAGGGGTCCGTGCGTCGTTCGGCCCAGGAGCAGGCGCCTGCAGTGTTGGGGTTCCTGGTTGAGCTGCAACCCTCGCCTGCTGCTTAACCCAGCTCCGCCGGAACAGGTGTATGGACATCCCCCCCGCCACCCACCGAGCGCGATGGGGCTTGAGACGACCCCATTGACACTGAAGGATGATGCTGTTGCCGAAGTCTGGCACAGCAGACCAGCCGGTGCGGCTGGCGAGCCGCGCCGAGTGCTGACGACCGGTCCCCAGTGAGCCCGACGGCGCAGGGCCCGAGCACGCCGGCCCGCGCGCCAGCATGCTTGGCATTGCTCTGGATGTATTGCTGATATGAATATGGACAGGTTTCTGGGCAGCCAGCTTGTCAGATCGGTGCGGACGGTGCCGTGTTGGTGCACGGAAGGTGCTCGCCTGCCAGTGAGTCGCTGTCGGGACCAATCGATTTGATTCCAAAGTGACCCTTCGCTGGGGACCCACCACCAGCCCTGAGAGGGACCTCTGATATTCCCAACGCACGACAAGCCTCTCATGTTAATGTCGCGAGCAGGCATCATGGGCACGGCAACAGGAGTTCACAAGGGCCACCGCGATGGTACAAGCGTGGGGTGGTTGAGGGGAACAAAAGAGCATGGTACATGGGCAAGGAGCCCAGGAGGGGGCTTCAGGCAACCACAATCACGTCGGCATCCAGCGCCGCCCGGCGCGCATTGCGCCTCGCCCGCCGGCCAGTGCCGCTGGGGCTGGAGCCCATCGGCTGCTGCTGGCCTGGGGTGGGGGAGGCGCCCGACCAGGAAGGGGGGGCGCCGGGCGACACGCTCCCGGGGTCCAGGCGCTTGCGCGCCGGCACCGCCACGGCCGCGCTGGGTGCGGGCGCAGGGGAGGCGCCATGGCACGGTTGCCGACTCGCGTGCTTGCCCTGCAAAGGAAGGTCATGTGGCTGGGGGTTGGGGGCATGGCGAGCGGCGAGGTGTGGGGGGTGGGGGAGCACCCCGCCGAGGGTGCCTCGATGCACCCTCGACCCACTCCGCACCTTGCCGCTGCTGGGAGCCGGTCGGGCTTGGCGCCGCCCGCTGGCGATGTACCCGCCCTCGCCGAAGCGGCGGTTGCCAAGTGTCACGCGCGCGCGCCCCGCGGCCGACGAGAAGTAGAAGGCCTCCAGGTCGTCGTCGTCGTCGTCGTCGCAGAGGTCATAGGCGTCCTCGTCAGCCCAGCTGCGCTCGCGGCGCGGCGCGGCGCCGTCCTCCGGCGGCAGCGTGTGGCGCTCTGCCCGATCCTTGAACCAGGCCGCGCGCTTCAGTAGGCACACCGAGTTCTGCACCGGGAAGTCCTGCAGGGGGGAAGATGGGAGTGTGGAGGCGGCTAAGAGGGGGGCCAGGGTCAGGGGTATGAGGAGGCCAAAAATCCCTAGACCAGGACACGATGTTTTGCCTCAGGCCCCATGGGTGCGCCACACCAACCTCACAGAGCCAGGCCCTCACCTGCAACGTCCCGTCCAGATTGCGGTAGGTGATGATCTCGGAGAAGGGGGTCTTGCACTGGGGGCAGCACGCATCCCCCTGCTCCTTCAGCGACGCCCAGTGGATGATGCAGTGTGCTGCATGGTGTGAGCGTGCGTGGTGGTGGTGGGAAGCGGGCATGCATTCGATCACCAACGCACTGCAGCGGGCAGATCAAGAAGTAGGTGCGTCCACTCTGGGGGACACGACAACAAGGGCAAGGCACTCGGCTCTCCAAGAAACCCGTGCTGAAGCCCCTTCTGACAACGCCTCACCGCAGTAGACATGGTCGCAGCCCGGCAGAATTGCCACATCCTTGAGGGCGGTGGTATTGAGACAGATGGCACAGGGGTTTGAGTCATCCTCGTCTTCTAGGACCTGCTGCTTCCCCTGCTTGTGCAGGATTGAGAAATTGTACTCAGAGGCCTGCCCTGGATCCCCTCCTGGTGCATATAGACCCAAGGCAAAACCATCCAGCCCCCAGCTCATACCTACACGTCAGCGGCCAGGGGTTGTTATCCGACCCACACACCTTGTCATCGCCAGTCTCCGGCAACGTGAGACCATCCATGTGGTCGACAAGCTCCTCCATGGCCTCCCAGGACTCCCGGAGGATGAAGCTGGCACGCTCTCAGTCACAACACGCTGCACACCACCCAACTTCCCCTCAGCGCGCTCGGACTTCCGGGTTGGTCGCCAGGGTCAGGCTGACCGCTCAAATGTTGTATCAATACTGGGCAGTAAGTATTCAACAAAGGCGACTCGACGAGAAAATGGGGTGGAGGACCACAGAGGCACGGAGGGACCCGTGACAGCCCGGAAGCTTGAAAGGGATAACGAGGGGAGAGCGAGGTTGTGGGCTGCAGGAAATGTTGGAAGATCGGTGGCGTAAGCCACAGTCCCCCGCGTTAGGGGGGATACGGACGCTGTGCCCCTCAGGGAGAACCGTGAAGTATATTCCAGCGAACTGATCGAAACTCCGGGAGGGCCCGGCTCTCCCTTGGCGCGCTTTCCACCATCATTCAGTTTTGCACTGGGCTGACCAGCGGGTTGACAGGCCAATCTCGATCTCATACGCTGGTAGGAGGCGTTGCTTTGTTCCTTGTGCTGATACCGCCTGCTAACGCTGCACTGTGTACCCCGAGGAGGCCCCACCCCTCATCAAGCCGAGTTTGACCAGGAGCTCCGCAAGGTGCCCGATGGGGCAGTACGGGGCTTACACGCCGTCTTCATGCTCCATATGGCACTTCTTGGGCATTATGGTATCCCACTCAAGCTCCTTACGCTCAAGGAGAGCGGTTCGCTGTCAACCTCCCTGTCGTGCCATGTGCAGGGCTGCAAGATGAGCTTGGCGGACGTCACCGCCAATCTTCGCGCTCCCGTGGAGACCGCGACAGACAACAAGCCAATCGTCAAGGTGCACGCTGTGGAGTGGGCCAAGATCATGGCGGGCGAGCCGGTGGAGATCAATCCCTCCATCGGGCACGGCTACAAGGTGATGTCCGTCAAGGAGTGGGCTGCCAGGTGGAAGCCCAACGAGGCATATCCCGAGTGCCTGGTGTGTGGGAGCCACAACACCAAGGAGCACCACTTCACACAGGTGGGAGGGGTGTTATTGGAGGCCAGGTCGGGGCAGGTGGCCCAAACGGGGATTCCAGATCAATGCCCAGTTGTCGGCCTCTTTCCAGCAACTTCCTTGCTAACCCTTGCAGACATGGTGCCGGGGCAAGAAGAAATGGGAGAGCGAGACCCTGTGCCTGGACTGCCACAGCTTCACCAAGCGCTCCTACTGCGATCCGGACTTCAAGACCCCAGAGGACTTTGAGAAGGAGCGCTGGCAGGTATGCGTGGATGGGGTGGCTGCGACCTCTTTGCATCCGACTTGCAGGCATGGTGCGTGCCGGCTTGGACATACAGGCCTCCATCTCAGCTAGGCCTTGGATTGAAACATGCAGGAGCTTGTTCGGGAGAACACAGCCGTGGCAGCAAAGTGAGGTAGTGACGACACAGGGTCGATGTCATATCCCTGTTTGGCAAGCACATGAGCACAAGCTGGATGGCTTTTTAGCCTCATTGATTGTAAAGCCTGATTGGTTGCTTGCATGCAATCCATGCCTTGCATGAAGGCCAGCCACTGTAAGAACTTAGGTCCATGGCGCACTCATTTCAGATCTTTCCAAACGCACTTTCAAGGGGTAAGCTTCCACTGGGTTAGTGCGATTTGGCCACCTTTCAGTGTGAATGGGGAATGTGGTGGCACAGATCTGACGGGCAGGCATTTGTGGGCAGCTGCTCCTCTGAGCCGAGGACCGAGCACGTGGAAAGACCCTGCCCTCCACGACCGTACGCCCTCGTGCCCCGCCATTGAGATCTGTCAAATATTGTCGCGGAGCCTCGTACGGGAGTCGATTTCTGCCAGGTCCAAGGCAGGAAGTCCTTTACACCTGCCGGACAAGAATGGGAGCCGGGTGTTGCAAGCTTGCTCCTAACCCAGACACCAAGGCGCTCTCGGGAGGCTTGCGGGTCTCTGAATTTAAGAAGCCAAAATGGAAATCAGAGCAACCCATGAGCATCGAACAGGTTCAGGTAAGCGCACATGCCGGGGCGGAGTGGGTTGACAGTGCAGGGTTCCCTCGACTTCCTCGCCTCAGTCTCGGCACCTCAAATCTCCCCCGCAGTCCATGCGGGAGGAGTTCTGGGATACAGAGCCACACTACGGAGGAGATAGAGGTGCGTCTGGTGCATCACATCGCCGGGACTCCCGGGTACAAAGAGCGACCTTCATGGGCCACAACCCCGCTCTCCCCTGCTCCTCCAGTGATCTGGGATGCGCTGCGAGCCGCGGCAGAGGCAGATCTCCGCACAGCAAAGCTCATCCTACAGAGTGCCGGTATCGTGGTAGCCGCACCCGATATGACAACCTACTATGATGAGCGGGGTGAGTGTACGGGCCTGCTGCCTCCTGAGGACCCTGTTGCATTGTAGATGTGCGGCATGCTGACCTGGTTTTATCCCCAACCGTAAACACATGCAGGGAGGATGTATGTCCTGCCCAAGTATGTGCTCTCCCTTCCAACAAACATCCTGCGCACAAGTTCCATAATGGGAAGCCGAAAATCTGCCAATGCAGTTGAACTGCCGCAGCTTACTGCCTCGGCCCTGTAGAATGTGGCATGGCAACACATCAGCTGCCTCCTCCCAAAGGGAGCCGTGACACATGGCTCGTGTACTGTCTTCAGTCTGTCTTTCCTTCCCACTGGGGAGTGGAGACCATAAAATTATTCCCCCAAAGAGTAAATGACTGAGCTCCTTGTACCTACACCTGATGTTCTCCATTCCTCATAAATCTTCAGTCCTGATGTAAATGTAAATCAGGTGCTAAAGTTCTCCGAGGAGGAGCTTAGACACCTGCAAGTTGGAGCACAGCACGCGCACCACGGAGACATCACGATCCAGGAGCTTTCGCGTCGCATGCATGCCACGAGAACCTCTCCAAGGCGAGTGCCAACCTTGTATTGCGATTATTGGGTCGCTGAGGGATTCGAGGAGTTTTTGATCCGGCGGTGGTGTTGATGGTCGCTCCCAGCCGCGGTCTCGCACCCTGCAGCTCGCCCCTTGCCATGCAGCGCTGCGCCCAGAGGCTCGCGCATCAGGCCTCACGATTCTCGGCACCGGTCATCCGCGGTAGAAGCCTGAGCAGGGAGTCGTTCCTGGTCTCCAACCCCTACGATGGCGCGAGGTCCTTCACGACACCCACGCTCGTGTGCCACGCACGGGCGACGAAGGAGAAGGGCAGCGTGCCTGTGGACTCCGCCGATGCCAAGGTGTGTGGCCGAGGGGCTCGGTGCAATGTTGGTCATGCGATGTGTGTCCTGCATGGTGTTACTGGGGGTGGGTCGGGCCATGTTGGCAAGCATGGCGCCCCTGCCTCGCCTCTGCTCCCCGCATGTAGCAGCCAGCACCACCTCCACAACACCCCCACCTCGTCCAATGAGTACCGCCCCTGACACACACCGACCGCCGCGCGTTCCACTAGGCCAGCGCCCTGGACCACGTGATGAAGGAGATTAACAGCCGGTTTGGCAAGAACAGCATCATGCTGCTAGGCGACAACAAATTTGGGGAGGTGCGCACCACGCCCTCAGGCGCCCTGACCCTGGACATCGCGCTGGGCGGGGGCTACCCCGTGGGCCGCATCGTGGAGATCCTGGGCCCCGAGGCCAGCGGGAAGACCACCCTGGCCCTGCACGCCATGGCTGAGGTGCAGAAGCGCGGCGGTGCCGTAGCCCTGATCGACGCCGAGCACGCCTTCGACCCCCTCTTCGCCAAGGTGGTTTGTTTTTCAATGGGAAAGGGGAGGGGGGGGGTTCAGATAGGGTGGCTCAGGATGGTGTAAGGGGCTCATGAGGGCTCCACATGGTAGTTGTCACACGCCAGGCTCCGCACCTGTCTCGCCGCAACCCCTCTCCTCTCTCACAATGCACCTTTGCATCTCCTCCCGCACACCTTTCTTTCCCATCCACCCATACATCGATCACCTATCCCCTGAAACCCACCCACCCACCCAACCCCCACAAAAACACCCATCCGCAGCGTTTGGGCCTGGACATTGGCCGCCTGTTCCTGTGCCAGCCCGACTCGGGGGAGATGGCGCTGGAGGTGGCGGACTCGCTCATGCGCTCCGGCGCGGTGGACATGGTGGCGGTGGACTCGGTCGCCGCGCTGGTGCCACGCGCCGAGCTGGAGGGCGAGATCGGGCAGACCCAGATCGGGTCGCAGGCGCGGCTGATGAGCTCCGCGCTGCGCAAGATCGCGGGCAACGCCTCGCGCCACGCCTGCACCCTGCTCTTCATCAACCAGATCCGGCACAAGGTGGGCGTCATTTTCGGCAGCCCCGAGACCACCAGCGGGGGCATGGCGCTGAAGTATTATGCCAGCGTCAGGCTGGAGGTGCGCCCCAAGGAGAAGATCATGGCCGACGGCGAGCAGGCCGGCATCAAGATTAAGTCAGTGTGTGCTCGTGTGTGGGGTTAGGGGTGGGGTGGGGGGGAAGGTCCGGAGAATGGAGGGGGGGCACCGGCTTGCGTCCTTGCTGCTCGACCAGGTCGGAGGCCCTGGCTATGCATGCGCCTTGCTACACCCCACTGACACCCCACCTTCACAATCCCAACCCCAACTTTGAATCGCCACCCAGGGCAAAGTGCACCAAGAACAAGGTGGCGCCGCCATACCGCATCGCAGAGTTTGACATCATGTTTGGCAGCGGGATCAATGGCGCGGGTTGCGTGCTGGATGCCGCCGAGAAGGTGGGCGTGGTGATCAGGCGGGGAGCCTACTACTACCTGGGCGAGGAGCGGCTGGGACAGGGCCGGGAGAAGACGTTGGAGACCCTGGCGGAGAGGCCAGAGCTGCTCAGGTGGGTGTGGTCTGGGGGGGAAGAGAGGCCTGGGGTGCTGGATGGAGGGTGCCGTGGTCATAGGGCGCATGGTCGAGGCTGTGACATCTTTCTCTGAGATACGCTGCCGAGGGCAGGGCCCCCCACTGGCTTCCATCCCAGCCATCAAACCCCACCCACTCATCCACTCCCTGCAGCCACCTGGAGGAGGAAACGCGGCAGGTGCTGACCAAAGGTGGGCACGCAGTTGGGGACGCATTTGGCGAGGCCTCCAGCAGCGAGGAGGAGCCGGAGTTCCTGAGCGAGGCCGACGAGGGCGAGGCGGAGGCAGGAGGCTTGGACGCCGAGGCCGTACAGCCGTGAGCGCCGCGGCTGAGGGCGAAGCCCGCTCCCCTTGTATGTATTACGTCATGTTGTGCCACCCCCGCCACCTTCTTCCCTGTACACGAGCCTCGCGCCACTGGAATCGTTGTCCCTCCGACCCATTCTGGCTCCCCACACCGACGCCCGTGCCCTCTGCACCCTCGGCATCATGTCTTCTCCTGACCGCACCCTCGCTCAGAATGGTGATGCTGTGTACATTTCATCGCTGCCTCCGTGCGCTTCAGAAGGACAGGGACTCGTCAGCTGCATGGGCGATGCCGTAGGCATCGCCCAGCCCCAGCATGGTCACCAGGGTCTTGAAGCGGCCACGCATGGCCTCCACGAGCTGATGCAGGTTGGGGTCCTGCAGGAGAGAGGGTGAGGGCTCACACATGTGCCAGCAGGTTTGAACCCCGGAGGCCATGGGGAGTCACCTGGGGGCCTGAATGAGCCTGGACCCCCACCCCCTCACCTGAGCATCAGACCAGGGGAAGGACCGCACGAGATCCTCCAGTAGTGCCATGTGTCGTAGGACCCGGGGGTTGAGCTTCAAGCGGCCGCCATGCTCCCCGGCTGTGTGCCACTGACTGAGGCAGCCCGAATAAAAGGCAACTTCATATGAGATGCGAAAACCTTGTTCGACGCCCATGGCCCGGCCCTCTGCATACCCGGCTGCCTTTCCCTCCCTGATGCACGAATGAAAGGGTTGGGGTCTGTGTGGAATGAAGGTCGAGGCAGCCAGTGCATGTGCGAATCAGCTGCTCAAGGCTTCACCCAGGCTCCACGTTGAGGTGAGGGCCTGCCAACCCTACTTTCACGGGGCAGCAACCCAAACTCAGCCTCGTGATCGCAACTCACTGCATTCCAGCCTCTCTGCCGTCCCGAAAGTGGTGCTCCTCCAAATCCAGCGCGGATGCAAAGGGGTCCAATTCTGCCACTATCTGTGCCGGCGCCATGGGGCCTTCGAGACCTTGCACACCTGCGTCTTCGTTGATGCCGCTGAACGGATGAATCCCGAGCACCAATCCGTCTGGATGTGTCGAATTCTGGAATTAATATTGGGAGTCGCGAAACGGATGTAGGTAGGAGAGGTTGAGGGGATCCCGGGAGCAGGTTCCTGCGACCCAAGTTGATTGAATGCCGCACACAGATGACAAGGGGATTGACAACGGAGCTTGAACTTCTTCAAGTTCTCCAAGACAACATTCTTGCGGAACCGTCTCCATTTTCAGGGGCGGGCCGGTATGCGACAGAATTTATCCACGTGACCTTTGTAGAGAATCCTGAGCCTTCTGGGCCTTTAGATCTCAGAAGCTGCGAGCACTGCAACTGCATTAAAAACTTGACTATTCGAGACAGAATGTCTATTCAGACGACTCACTTTGCTGCATGTCGCCCATGTACGCGGCCTGGCATTTGCCCATGCAGCCCCATTCCCCACGAGCCCCTCCATGCGGGCCCCGCGAGGCGGTCCAGAGTGGGCTCGTACCCGCTCAGGGCAGTAAAACGCCGGGTAGAGATCCTAGATGAGCAGGCGATCGACAATTTGGCGGCATGTTGTGATGACTTCGTGTGCACCTCCAGTCCCGCCGTGGAGAACAGCGTCCGCACGCTGGCGCGCGACATACAGCGAGCCGATGGCTCCTGGACCCGCCGGATCCTGGCACCAGACGTGGTGTACAAGGTAATGGTGCAACGAGACAGGCAGGATGCTGCTGGACCACGGCTGAGGGTCTGCATGAACACCATGGAGGAAAATGCTGACTCAGCAATGCATGGACGGGCGGTCTGTGCACCTGGCGGGCTGATGCAGCTCAGTGCGTGTGCGACCGGCTCTTCTTCGTGCAGCACTATAGGTCTGCCCTCCCGTGTGCATGCCCAAACATCGTGCAGTTCTTACTGAATGGGCCTCCTCACCTCGACCCTTTCTGCAGGACAACTTTCGTAGTTTCAAGGGCATACAAGGCTACGACTCCCTAGACTTTGTGCCAAACGTCGTCTCTCCATCTCGCGTGACCATACGACGCATGCGCATGCTGCGCCAAGATCTGGCGGTCGTGGAGTGGGTGCTGGAGGGCCGTTTGGGGCCCCTGTCCCTGTCGGTGCAGGGAGAGACCGAGGCACAGCTCAACTTGCTGTCGGGCCGCATCGTGGAGCAGAGGGAGTCGTGGCCAGGGGCTCCCCTCCCCTGGACCCTGGCAAGGGCGCTCTGGTCAGTGGGTAAGAAGACCAAGGACACGGTCAGGGGTGGGAAGGCGGCCATAGACTCTGCCCTAGATCAGGAGGGCGAGAGCCAAAATCAGTTTCAGGGGGATCCCACCGACCCCACGAGGTTCTTCATGGATCAGGTGTGCATGGGTGTTGGGGTGGGTGTGTTGTGGGCGAGTGTCCCCAGATTGATCGTGGTGGGTGGGGTAGAAGGTGCCACGGTGTGCCTGCCATGGCTTTGCAACCTTCCTGCATCCTGCTACCCTCTCACCGCTTCCACCCGCCCCTTGCAGACAAAAAACAGTTTGTGGAATGACATGATCAACCTCAGTCTGTTTGGCGCAATAATATATCTCTTTACCCAGACTCTGTACCACCTTTGGAAGTGAGACTCTAGACTTGCCGTGCTGTTGTGAGATGTAAGGGGAGATTGCTGTGCCCAGGCCCAGGTGCAGGAACCAGCGGGGTCAGATGCATGAGGGTGGACATGCCACATGGGACAGAGAGAGATGGGGGCCACGGTTGGGGGAGCCCGTTTCAGCAACTTCTGGATTGGGTCTGGGATGCAGTGGTAAGGGCTCAGCCTGGTAGATGTGCATGCTGAGCGCAAAGATTGTATCATCAGAGAGCACACATCTATTCGAACAGTAGGGCGAATGTGTTGCGACCGAGGTTATGGCAGTCTGGGGACAGGCACAGGGGCCCCAAAGCCTGCAGGGGTATCCAAACGACACGCCTCCAAGCAATGCGCTCCGCCCTCAGCAATGCATCCGACAAGTCGGCACGGCTCACGCCAGCCCAAACTGCCCGGCAATGGTGCTGTCCAGGGCCCTGCCCAGCACCTTCTGCAGCAGGCCTAGGACCCAGAGCTTGAGCGCCCCGCCCGCTGCCAGGAACCAGGCGGGTGGCGGCTTCGCGCCCGGCGCGGTGGCGGCGTTGATGACGCCGGCGATGCGCGCCGCGACCTGGGACGCGGGCTGCACGCCCTTGGAGTTCTGAGACATGCGGGCGCGGGCGCGGATGGAGGGGGCGTGCGCGCGGTAGAGGCTCCCCGGGCGTTCATACCGCTCCCCGCTCTGGCCCGCCTCCGCATTGTTGGAGAAGCTGGAGGTGATTGCCCCCGCAGTGACGGTGGTCACCTGGATGTTAAAGGGCCGCAGCTCCAGCCGCAGCGAGTCGGAGAGGGCATGCAGGGCAGCCTTGCTGGCGCTGTAGGCGCCGGCGTAGGGCGTCGCGAGCCAGGCGGAGACGGAGCCGATGTTCACCACCAGCCCGCCGCCGCGGGCAGCCATGGAGGGGACCACGGCCTTTGTGGGGATGGGAATTGGAGGGTGAGGAAGCAGAATTGGCAGGCAGAGGAATGTGGGACACAGATTAAGGGGGTGAGGGACTGCATGGCGGCTCTGGGAATACCCACGTGCAGGCCGCTCAGCCCAGCCAGCCGACCTGTGTCATGCGCAACACGCCCATGACGTTGGTGTCGAAGACGGCGGTCACTTCGGACAGGGGCTGCTCGGCCAGGGGACCGAATTTGCTGATGCCGGCATTGTTGACGAGCACGTCGAGGCGCTCCTCTTGGGACAGCACCGTCGCCACCGCCTCCTTTACGCTGGCCTCGCTCCCCACGTCCAGCGCCAGCGTGGATATGCCCAGGTCTGCCAGGGGCTCGAGGGTTTTCAGGCGGCGCGCGGTCGCGTACACCTTGTACAGCGTGCGCCCATCGGGTGTGGTCTGTGAGTGCAGGCACGTGGCCAAGGCCTGGCCCAGCCCGCTGCTGCAGCCCGTGACCTGATGGTTGGGGATCCAGAGTAGAATTTCAAGGGGGTATCGTTCAGCAGTCCCATCGGAGCATCGTACCTCCAGTGCGACACCCTCCGGCGATGGAGCCTCGAGCCTGGAGGCCGACACTTACCAGCACAACCTTTGCGAGCAGGGAATCCTGCGAGCTCGAAGCGATCTCCACCATGAATATGTGCAAGCACGGGTTGGATAGAATTCTTTGAGGCAGCCAGGGGGGATAGGCCGCCTGTGAGGCGAGTGTGCCCCGGAACAGGTGCACAGGAAGGGATCTCGGAGATCTCGTTGAACACTTTAAAGGAAGCCAAGAGAAACCCACGTCCGTCGGCTGCTCGCTGGCCCGTAACAATACATTGTGGTTCTCGCGAAGTTTTTGTATGAAGCTCTCGCTTTTTTACCAGCAATACTTTTCAGTTCTTCAGGATGGGCGTTGGTACTGCTCGAGGCTGCTGTCGTGCTGCTTCCTGTGCACGTGGGTACAGAGCGGCAACCCAGGTTACAATGTCTTCCATCATCATCAATTCCGTTCCAACGTACACATGTAATATCCTGTACAGACATGCAAACATCTGGTGGGCCGCATGCCCCACGACAGGCACAAGAAGAGAAAACGAAGAGAGCACGACAGGGATCGCGATTCCCTCGCTGAACTCCTCATCCAGGCTGGATTGGGGGATCACAGGCGTTGCAAGAGACTTCTCAAGAAGGGAGCCTTTCCCAATGGCCGAGGCTTCGACGGCACCAATCCCCTCCTCCAAGTGATTCGGGCGGAGTGGAGGGGTGATCTCCTGATCGACAAGTCTACTCTCTGCGTCATGGATCCGGCGTGCTATGGATTCTTATGGACATTTTAAGAGTAGAGTTCCTCGGGAAGGAGGCTGACAGACGCCGAAGCTGGTCGCACACCCCACAACTCTGTCCAATCCCAACTTTAACACACGCAGGCTGCCACCCACGGCCATGTGAAAGTGGTCAAGACTCTGCTGCGGTATGGTGCAGATGCCATGGCACGCGATGCTCGTGGGAACACCCCTGTACACCTGGCAGCCAGGGGGGGCCACCTCGAAGCCGTGGCGGCCCTGCTGGCGGCTGACCCCCCGCCCGACATCTTTACGGCAAACCTTGCCGGCGTCACGATTACGGACGCAATAAACGCCGCCATGGCTGCCCAGGACCGGGCCACAGACGCCAGTCCTGAGAGGAGCGGCGGCAAGGCGGACGACGGGGCCAGCAGAGGGTGGGAGGGAGGGGATGCCTGGAGCGACCGCCTGGCAGCTGAGCTGTCTGGCGACGAGGACGATCCGTGAGTTTGAATGTCCAGGGAGAGGGCTTTGATTCAGGGGCGTCTGTGATGCATTCTGCATGTATTTTCGAATCAGGGATGGGAGAAACTTATGCTTGAGGATGGCGCACGATGTCACAATGACCCAGATCCTCAAATGCAGCTGCGACGAAATGTATCGCTCACCATCGTCACATCCCCTCGCCAGGTTTGGTGGGCCATGGGGTGTGCCAGCCACGCCCGTCGAGTCTGTGGACGAGTTTGCCCAGCGCATCTGGCGGGAGATGCAGGAGCGGCAGAGGGCGCGGGCTGCGGCCACCTCTGCCGAGTTTGTCAGTGCCAGGTGAGGTGACTGCATGAGGCCTCGGAAGGGGGGGGGGGGGGGGGGTCTACC